ATGTGAAAAATTAACAAACTAAATGAACCCTTAGTAATTTATTTTATAATTGAAATTTATTTTGCAGGTCACACCTCTACCATGTCATCATGCACATCATATCATTGCTGTTTAGACTTCCAAGCCACGTCATTGCCAAATTTGCAACCTCTTTTAATTTTTTCTACATGTGATATTGTTCAACTCAAATCCAAAGACTACTCTATTGATACATGAAGTTTTCATCTCTCGCATTTAACCTTGTATTTCACACCAAGGGATCCCCATGAAACTTTTCAAACTCAAAATGTAGTTATGGTATAATTAAACATATAATAATGTCTTTCCAAAAAATTCACTATAACAAAATACTACATTTTGTTACCTTTCATGATGAAACCTCTATCTTTCTTGAGAGTGAAAAGCTTGCCCTTGGAGAAGTTGTTTGTCCATTTAATAAGCTCTAGTTTATATTTACACATAGCGGTTAATGAGTTATCATTAATTACTAATAGCAATTAATAAATCCTTAATTGTGATTACAGCTTAACCTTTAGTTTTGTATTGTTGAGCATATTTTAGCTCCAAAATTAATTTCCTTTAATTTATTTGACCCCTAATAAGCCAAATAATCATTGCCAACAACACTCATTAACCAAAATTTAATTATTTAATATTAGAGTTAACTCTCAACCTCTTTTTTAATGGCATTAACTGTAGTCAACTTTTAGAATATGGATATAGGAACATTAAATAATCCCACAACAACCCATTTAATTCACTTTGGTGAGTGTAATTTAGCCACAAATTTGGGCATCAATTTCCAAAGGATATAAATTAGAAAAGCAAGGTGAAAAGAGGTAGGAGAAGAAGTAATAAGGCTTACCTAAGGTTGTAAAGCTTCAAAACAACCCTATGGTCCACCAATATAAAACCCTAGCAAAGCTCAAGTATTTTCCTCTTGGTCTAACTCTCAAATTCTGTCTTAAAAAACTTAGATTGCGTTTTGTGAGTTTTGATGCGCTCATCACGATGAACAAGCCCAAATAGACAACTTCACTAATTTCAAGAATCTAGGCCCAATTTGGCCCATCAGTCTCTAACACCCTATTTTAAGCTTTCCTAAGGGCTCAATAGGCCTAAATAGTCATTCTAACCAAATTATTAACCCTTAATTAACCCAATTAATTTAATGAAATCTTTGAATTAGTTATTCTACTTGCCACATAATTTCTAACATAATTTTTGAGATATTACATGTTTTTCATAAATAAATTACTTTATATTTATTTTAAAGTAAAACATTCAATTAAATAGGAATAAATATGAAAAGATAATATTAGTTTAAAGATGACTAATTAGTTTATTGCAGGGTGTGATTTAATTAAAAATACTTTATATATTTTAACGGAGAGAGTAAATGAATATATATTATTAATATAAATATATTATTTAATGTCAATTAATACTCCCTCCGTTAAAAAATATAAGACATTTTTTGAAGAGTTGAATGTTAAAAAATATAAAGCATTTTTAATTTTTTAAAGTGTAATCATTACCTTTTTTTTAAAAAATGTCCCTATTGATAGGAACTTTATATTTATTGTAGGGTATTTAATAAGAATAAATATGAAAAGATAGGGTCAGTTTAAAAGTAGGTAACTATTTTATTGGGGGATGAGATTTTGTTAAAAATACCTTATATTTTTGAATGGAGGGAGTATATATTATTCAAATACATATTTATGTATATAATTTTATATCATCTGCATTATAATTAAAAAATTTTTGTGTGATAAAAATTTTATTTTAATATGTAAATTAACAAATTTTTTATTCATAATAAAGGAAAGAAATTATGTGTAATTGAAAATTTAGCTTAGAATTTTGAAGATGTTTTCATGTGAATCACTTTCAATCTATGTTGATTTTTTTTATTTTTATAAAATATTTAGGGCACATTTTACTAATTATTTTAATTAAAAATATTTGTCACTAATATAAAGATTTAGTGATAAAAATTAATGATATGTTTAAACCTATTAGTAAATTTGTCCGGTTTGACAAAAATGTGACAATATTTTGTATCTATCACTAATTTATGTAATTAGACAATTAGTGACATATTTCAATCGATCATAAATTTTTCATCATTAATGTCTATGATTAATGATGGATTTAAAATCCATCCTTAAATATCTATCATTAATTTTAATTTTTCTAGTAGTGTATTTATCAAGGTACTAAAAATAAGACTTGTTATTGAATTGGTCAAAATATTGATTTAAGAATTAATGATTTTAAAATTATAGTTGAACCATGATCAAACCAATCATAAATAAAGCATTTTATTAAATTAGTTAAGACATTAGTTTAATAATTTACTAGTTGAATCAGCAGGTTAACTCGGATGTCCATACTATAATATTTATTAATCTTTATATATCTTGCCAATATTATATTTGTTTGATTTTATTATCAAGTTTCAGTTCCTAATGAACAAATATATATTAGAATAGATATTTGATGTCATGAGAAATTGTTTTATAAAGCATATGCAAAATATATCATAATATTATTTAGAAAAACTTTTGTTGGTACCTTTGCATATGATAAGTGAACAGTATATTGATCATTCAATATTCAAAAGATAGAGCAGAGCCACATTAACTTGAGGGGTGCACTTTGGTAAAAATTACAAGTAAAGCATATAAATCTTGCAAATTTATACCCTCTATTTTTGATATTTTGCACATTTTAAATTAAATAAAAGATATTTGAGTTCAAAAATTTATTAGATATATAATATTTTAATAATTTAGATAAAGTATGGAAATTATATTTACAATAAATTAAAAGACTATATTAACCTATTTAATATAAATTTTTAAAATAAAAAATAATGATAAATTTATTTATGTTATTATAATTCTAGTTCTAGCATAATTATTATTTTTAAAAATATTAATTTTTTATTAAATTGTTCTTCACCCCTGACTCCGCTATTGGAATATATTTTCAAAACTTATACTATAACAATGCACCTCGTATGGTTCAACCAAAAATGTAAATAATGCAAACAATGATGTTACGAGGGAGAGTAAATTGCATATTAAAGAATGACATATTCTTCTTTTTTTTGCTAGGCTTTTATCCCCCTAAGTTTTTTTTTTTGTCAAATTGAAGATTTTTAATGGGGTACTTTTTTTAAACAATGGACGTTCAAAGAACAGTGTTATAAATCTCAATCCATCTCCCTTAATGTTTTCATCTTATCTCAAATAAACTCCCACTATGTTACTATTCAAGAGATTTATTTTCCTAATCACATTTTTGGACTTTATTCTCTCTGTTTTTTTTTTTTTGGGTCCTTCTTGTCTGCCAATTTGACAATTCGAACTTAATGTCCAGAAGAGTAGTGTGGAGAATACTAACCACCAATGTACAAGTCTTCATGGCTTTACGGACTTTATTACCTACTGTGTTACTTAACATGGTGATGCCTTTGATATGTAAGATTATGCTTATAAATAAGCATGTCATTTATAATGAGATGTTCAATAATATAACAAATTATTTCTTTTGTTTCTAACGCCCTCTCTTGTCTGGTTCTCTATTGTTTTATTTGCTTTATTTTATAATACAAACAAGTCCATAGATTTTGGTTTTGGTGTTCTTTGAAAGGAAGCTATTTCACTTATTTTAGTGTTGCCAATATTTGTGAATACTTTGTCACTATTTTCATTGTTTTGGTAATAATTTTTAAAGAGAATCACATTAAAAGAACCTGGCAAAAAACTTATTCTCAAACAAGGATCATTATAAATATATTTTTGTTAAATTAAAAATATGAACTTGTTTTTTTTAAATGGGATTTATTATTTATACTCATCTACAAATATATTTCTTATTAGGTTCTTAAATGTAATTCTTTTTAATTTTTATTAGTTAGATGAATGTCCATGTATATTACGTGAAATTAAATTAGACGACGTAAGTTCATTTTTGCCCATATACAGATATACTCTTTTTGTTAAAAAATATAAAATATTTTTAATCAAATCTTATCCCTAATAAAATAGTTATATACTTTGAAACTAATCCTATTTTTTCATATTTATTCCTGTTAAACATCCTATAATAAATATAAAGTCACTGTCAATAGAGATATTTTTTTAAAAAGATAATGATTATATATCGAAAGATTAAAAATATTTTATATATTTAAATATTTAACTCCTCAAAAAATATTTTATATTTTTAAACGGAGAGAGTACTTATATTTTTTTTAAATTTTTTTATCCATATATTTGTTAATGCGTGGTGGATGATTATCAAAAGCTGTACTTCTATTTTTTCTCAAAACGTTGTCCTACCTCCCCCTCGGAGCGCCGCTGGTGCTGCATCCATTGCAAACTAGATTCTTTCATGTGAACAATTCGAATTCGAATCAGATCAAATGTTAAATTTTCTATTTTCAATCCACTCTAATATAATATTTTTAAATTTAGAATATTTTTATTATATATTTTTAAAATTGAAGAAAAATAAATTTTAAAGTTTTGCCTATTTAAATGAATGATTAATTAAATAAGCTACTCAATCAAAAGATTCATTTTGCATTCTCCCAGAGATATTAATTAATTAACAATTATTAATTAGTGGATTTTTTTAAAAGAAAAGAAATCAGTGGACTTTTTTTTTTTAAAAAGATTTTTCCGTTTCAACGGCCGGAGGGAATTTATTTAGAATTTGGAACAAACAGTAAACCACCCTCATAATTCAGACAAAAATAAACCTAAAGATTCATAATAATACAAAACCACAAAGAATAATGCCAATCTGGCTCAGATGGTCAGATCCTCTGTTTCCAAAATTCTTTTACAATTCATTACCACCAATAATTTCTAAACGAATCACAAACAACACCAACGTTGGCCGTCCTTTTCCTAAATTACCCCTCAGAACGCCCTTAATTACGTGTAGAACCCTCTTTAAATACTCGTCACTCCTTGCTTCCCCCTTTCAATCTCTTACCGCCACTGAACAGAGGCTTGTTCGTCCTCACCCCTCGTCCCTCTTTCCCTCTCAGATCTTCCCTTGATTTTCCGTCACTTTCCTGAGAAAATGAGAGAGATCCTTCACATCCAGGGTGGTCAATGTGGTAATCAGATCGGCGCCAAGTTCTGGGAGGTTATCTGCGACGAGCATGGCATTGACCATACCGGCAAGTACAGCGGCGATTCTGAACTCCAGCTCGAGCGCATCAATGTCTATTACAACGAGGCCAGCGGAGGCAGGTATGTTCCGCGCGCCGTTCTTATGGATCTGGAGCCTGGTACCATGGATTCTGTTAGATCCGGTCCATTTGGTCAGATCTTCCGCCCGGATAACTTCGTCTTTGGGCAATCTGGTGCTGGAAACAACTGGGCTAAGGGTCATTACACCGAGGGAGCTGAGCTAATCGATTCGGTATTGGATGTTGTGAGAAAGGAAGCCGAGAATTGTGATTGCTTGCAGGGTAATGAGTTCATCGATTCATCTTTTAGGTTTCCATGTTTCTTTTTCAAATAATTTTCGATTTGATGCAGAATTTTTATAGTGGAATTAAAATAGACATGTTCGGATTCCATTATGATTTTACAGTTTGCTGGTCCTTGATTGTATGCATGTATTTTAGGGTGTCAATGCCGTGATTTTATTTTGGTATTGTTAAATTCTTATTTGCGATGCTTTATGATCTTAGGTTCCTGTTAATTTGTTTCTATTGGTGATAGGAAGGGTATGGTGGTTTTGTAGCCATTTTTTTATTTGTCTGATTAGGCATTATCTTGATTGATTGTAGCAAATTAATTCTCTTGATAGTGGAGGCTTTCCTTTTCTTTTCTTCCCCTGCACCTGGGAGTTTCTTTGTAGTCATCTATGAACTTGCTTGATGATTTTGCATCGTAAGTTGGAAACATATCTGGTTTTGGCAGTCAACCTTTGTTGTTTGTTGTAGTTTGTACATTTCCAAAATCTTAAAAACTGCAATCTTTCATTTCCGATTTGTTTTGTTTTTGCTGTTAGTCTCAGTACTTTACGGACTTTAGCTCAAGTATAAGACTGCAATTATGCAATTCTTTTTTTGATCTCTTCTACTAAAAGTCAATCTATTCAAAATTTCAGATACTGCTTTTATGCTAACAGAATGAAATTAATTCTAAATCTTAATATTTTGTGACCAGGATTTCAGGTCTGCCACTCTTTGGGGGGAGGAACTGGCTCTGGCATGGGAACGCTTCTCATTTCAAAGATCCGGGAAGAGTATCCAGATCGGATGATGTTGACCTTTTCTGTCTTTCCCTCCCCAAAGGTTTCCGACACAGTTGTAGAGCCCTACAATGCCACACTTTCTGTGCATCAGCTTGTCGAAAATGCTGATGAATGCATGGTCTTGGACAACGAGGCTCTCTATGACATCTGCTTCCGAACTTTGAAGCTTGCCACCCCAACTTGTAAGTTTTTTATTGTTTACGGGTTTTAGTAGGTTAGTGCAACTTTTCTGCTTTTTCCCCTTGTTGATGCCGAGTATCATTTGGTATACCTTTTGATCCACTATCTAGTGGTGATTTGATATCCTTCTAGGTCATGTGTCTCACTCATAGTGGTTGTGCTTGTTGAGCTTTTGTCATCATTTGGTTTTTAGTCAGTTCCTTAGGAAGGAAGGCATTAGATTTTACTCTCATTATAGATAGAAATTATTAATCTCATCTGTTTTATTTTCTTGTCTTGTTGCAGTTGGTGACCTTAACCACCTCATCTCTGCTACCATGAGCGGTGTTACTTGCTGCTTACGATTCCCTGGGCAGCTGAACTCTGATCTTCGAAAACTTGCTGTGAATCTTATCCCATTCCCTCGTCTCCACTTCTTTATGGTTGGATTTGCACCTTTAACGTCAAGAGGATCCCAGCAGTACCGTGCCTTGACAGTGCCTGAGTTGACACAGCAAATGTGGGATGCTAAGAACATGATGTGTGCTGCAGATCCACGCCACGGTCGCTATTTGACTGCGTCAGCAATGTTCCGTGGTAAAATGAGCACCAAGGAGGTGGATGAACAGATGATCAATGTCCAAAACAAGAACTCTTCTTACTTCGTTGAGTGGATTCCTAACAATGTCAAGTCTAGCGTGTGTGACATCCCACCTAAGGGCCTTAAGATGGCTTCTACTTTTATTGGAAACTCAACATCAATTCAGGAGATGTTTAGGAGAGTCAGTGAGCAATTCACTGCTATGTTCAGGCGTAAGGCTTTCTTGCACTGGTACACGGGTGAGGGAATGGACGAAATGGAGTTCACGGAAGCCGAGAGTAACATGAACGATCTGGTGGCTGAGTATCAGCAATACCAGGATGCTACCGTTGATGAGGAAGAGTATGAGGAGGAGGAGGAGGAAGAGGGGATTGCTGTCTGAGGAGTGCCTGTGAGTTCTCAAGGTTGTATGAAATTTCATTATGGTTGGCTTTGAGCGAGTGGTCAAGTTGTATGCTATTGTCTGAATTGTGGATCATTGTATAATCTTGGTTTGTTGACAACGCTTCTGTTTTTTGCAATTTAATCTTGAATGTCTGTAGTAGCGAAGTAGGTAGATAATTCTTATACATCTTTGCAGTTTTCGTTTTTGTATAATCCTTTGTCTTTCTATTTTCTTTTTTATATATCAATTTTCTTTTTATATATCAACTCTTGTTCAAATGTTTTTTGGTTTGGCATGTTTCTGCCTTCAACCTCGCGTCTTTTATGGTTGTTGTCTGCTTTTGTTTAATTAATCTAATTCTATCCTTGTACCTGTTTCAAATGAATCTATGCCAGGTTAAAAAACTATGATTTGCCTGCCTTGTTCATTTGTCGGATTATGATAAATAACGTAACGATAAAATGGAATAGATAAATAAAATTACTTTTCTGCCGAGCCGAAGTAAAGCACGAGTTGTTGCCAGCTGAAAATACTTGTACAACTGTATCGTAATGTCATAAATTGAAAACTTGGATGCTTGGTTAATTTTGTTATATAGGACACTGTTAATCAAATGATATCCCAAATGACATAGTTAATTATCTTCAAAATTATATATATTTTTTTATGTTTGCTTTTATTTGACAGTTGTCTTTATTTAGAAAATGCTCTTGTTTATAATTTTTATTAATTACACTCTCTGACATGTTAAAAGATTCAAAATATTTTATATTTTTTAATGTGATATTTTAAAAAAAATATCTTATAATATTGAATGGATAGAGTAACTTTTATTATTTTGAATGAGCAATTATATTTTTTCAAAAAATAATCAGTAACTTATAATTCATTTTCAACATAAAAGAACTAAAATAAAATATTGGGCATTGTATGAAAATAAATAAATTAAATTAATCTAAATTTAAATGACCATTTTGGTCCATTAATTTTATTTAAAACTTTCAATTCAGTTGGCTCAATATAGTTTAAAAGTCAGCTTAATTAACAACAATTCGGTTGATTTGTTTAATAATTTATAACAGGCAGAAAATTTTTAAGAAAAAGATGAATAAATGCACACCGTATATATCATTATAGCCTTGGATTCTTCAATTCTTCCCCCTACCTTCGAAATCCATAACCTAATCCAAAATTCAACCTAATCTTGATCCATCATCAAAACCTAATTCAAATCAAAAGCTATAACCTTTGAATCCAACATTTCTACCAATTAATTTTTAAATTAGATCAACGGAGTAAATAGATGATAAAATTGAGCCTAGACTCTCATAGATAGATCATATTAGAACCTGACCTAGGTTTAAGAACACCAAAATCCCCAAATCTAGTCAGTGAAAAGTGAAGAAATCCTCATTCAATCAGTAGATTTAGGATCTAAGACACTCATGTTGATCAAGTCTAGCCTCAAAGGGATGAAACAATGCTCCATAAAGATAAGGTTCAAATGTCATAACACACACACACACACACACACACAAACTAAAACAATGCTCCTTTCGACTCTCAGTTCCCTCTTCTTCCTTCACAAACCCTTGTAGAGGGATGAAACAATGCTCCATAAAGATAAGGTTCAAATGTCATAACACACACACACACACACACACAAAACTAAAACAATGCTCCTTTCGTCTCTCAGTTCCCTCTTCTTCCTTCACGCACAGAAACGTTCGACCAGCGCCCCTTCTCTGTCACGGCATCAGCCGTCGTCGCGCAGCTTCGCTGAGGGCCATCGCGTCAGTTTATCTGTGAAGCTGATGCGTCGGATCGTCCGCATCTTGGTCTTCAGATGTGTGCAGATCTAAGCTGCTGCAGCGCTGTCGCCGCTCCTTCACCGTAAGCCGTCACCGTCGCACTGCCTCTCCAACGCCAAGCTGCTGTTCTGCACTGTCCCTTCTTTCTCTATCTCTTCTGCGTCAAGCTCTTTTGTAAGTGTAGTTTTTCTTCATTTTCTTAATTAATATTGTTTGCTGTTCGTTGAAGCAATCCCAAGTAAGTATTTAAGGTTTCTTCGGGGTGGATTTTATCTAGTTCGGTTCCCAAATACTGCATAAAGTAAGTCATCGTTCTTACCTTGCCTCAATCTACACCGTCAAATTTCCATCACTCACGTTTTCTTATTTGCATAAAACAAAAAATACGGGATTTCGGCCAAAAATGCGACAAGGAAAGATATCAAAAGGGGATGGTTTCTAGTTCGCACCAAGCATCCTTCTTGACTTATTATATGAAACTCTGGTGCTTGAGCACTTGAGCCTTGAGCTTCTCCAAACCATCTCTATGTATATATTTATAATACAAAATCTTTAAAACTCTGCTTTAGCATCTCCAAAGGATGAAGTGTTTATTTGAATTATATCCTTTTCCATGCTTTAGCTCTTCATTAATAATGTTAAAGTAGTATGTGGTCTTAATGGTTCTAATCATATTAAGCATTTTGTTTACTTCGTTTCTTTCCATGAAGGTGGTGTCTTATCAATTTATTCTGGTAGTACTATTTCTTCTACAGTTCTACTTAATTAACTAACCTTGCTTTGATACATTTTGATGCTAGACATGTAATCTTAGGACTTCCACTATTGTACTTAGGTTCCTGTACTTGTTGCATTTACTGTCAAATTTAACAATTATAGTGATGACCAACTTACAGTGTATGTTTTTCAAGTTCTGGAATTGTGATATCAAGTTCTCGATTTGTTAATGCTGTCAGATATTGTGTGGTCGTTAGAACTCAAAGAAATTATCCTTTTCGTATAGTGTATCGTGTGATCTTGTAATGTGAGATATAACTTATATATTACTTGAACTCTCTATAGGTGAAGTGAGACCCAATTTCACTTTCTGTGTAGTACTTATCAAAATTAATCCCTTAGTACTATACTGGCAACGCCACTCGCTTTCTAGAATCCAAATATACAAAATTAAAGTTGCAATGATTTTTTTGTAAATCTGGTATGGAAATGCAATGACTTTAGAACCAATGACATTTTTTTTATTAGTCTCTTTAGATTCAGATTAATGTTTCCTTTAGTTAATGCATGATGTTAAACAAAACTACAGGGAGAAAGTCTTGACATAGGTTACAGATCTCCCCAAACTTGTTAATTGATCAAGTTCTGAGGTCTGTGATTTTTTCAAATAGTTCTGCTATGTTTAATCTAATCAGCTTTGCTATGCTCTGTTATGCTTCAGCTTGTTTATTTCATGAATTGATGCTGGTTTTCCTAGATGAAGAAGACTTCAATTGTGTCTCTAACTCTTGGGTATGTTAAATTCTTACTTTTTTGTTCTTATTTTTGCAGGAACCTGTATTACTATTTTGTTGTATCAGAAAACAAACCTTTCGAAGATCCTATGGTTCTTTGGTGATGGCTTTATATATGAGCATGTTTTTGTTACAAAATGCAACGTAATTTTTTCCTAATTAATATTGCATGTGAAAGGAGGTGTAAGATTGACAGGCGTAAGATTGACGTGAAGTTGGTATTGTGTAAATAACAATAAAAAATTAGGATGCCATATTTAGGAATCTCATGGTAAATAAAAAAGGGAGACAAGACAAAGAAAATGCTTACAAACTCTTAAGCTGTAAATCTACATTATAGTTATGTAAATTGCAACATTCAGATGTTGAAATTTTGTATATCGTAAAATTGTATATTAACTAATGAAATTATGTTATTATGCTTAATTTGCTATAAAGCACTGTGTATTTAAATTCTATTAAAAAAGTATGCTATGAAATTTAAAACAAAAATGAAGCATATATGCATTGTGCTTTAAAAATGAATTTATTTTTTTTAAAAATGGCATGTGCTACTGTATGCTTTTATGTAGAGTGCTCCTTGAGAGTAGTTTAGAGTGGCCCTTACCCATAAGTGCTCCCTGTAGGACTATCCATGAATTTTGTGACCTCATTAAGATGCTTCCGGGAGTGCTTCCCCCAAAACCGCTCCCATAGGCCACTGCTGAAGCTATAAAAACAAGTACTTCAAAGAATGTCTTTTGTAGTAATGTTTGCTCTAATTCATGTGTTAAGTCTTAAACTTAGCATGATAATTAATAGGGATTTGTTTGCAACTTGTTTTAGGAATAGTCTTTTATTCTTCAAAACAAAAGAAAAAACAAAAAAGTTTGTTTAGTAACATATTTTCAAAATATATTTTGGAGAACAAAAAATATTATTTTAAAAAATAAAAAAATGAATTTTTTTTGTGTTTTAAAATTATTGTTCTGAAAAATAAGAAAGAATGAAAAAAAACATTTATTTTCATTTTTTTATTTTCAAAATATGTTATATAAAATATAAAAATAATAAAATAAAAATAGTTTCAAGTATACTATAAACTTCCTTGTTCTTTTCACTTTTGAGCAAATTTCTACTTAATCCATTAACCCCCTATACTTGACACATTAGCTACCTTGTTGTTTTCATTATATTTTTGCTCTCAATTGTTTTTTTACAAAACATCAATTCTTAAAACAATAAAACCAAAAAAGTTTTAAACAAACCATAAGCTTCCTTGTTCTTTTCACTCTTAAGCAAATTTCTACTTAACCCGTTAACCCTCTATACTTAATACGTTAACCAGCTTTTGCCCCAAATTAAACCATCGAAGAACTTTACACTATGTTGATGTGTTGATTATTCCTTTTAATTAATGTGTGAAGTTCAAATCCAGAAACACATTACTCTTGGGAAAATTCCTTAACGCGTTAGTCTCCCAACTTAACATTTTAATGGATGCGTTTCAAGTCTTTGCTTTGATTTCACTTGTTATCCCAATTAATATGTTAACTCTTTCTACTTAACGTTAGAATGAGACGTTGAGGAGCCAAAGTTCTATGTTTTCTACTATACTTAATGCGTCAAAGAGTCTAATTAACATAAGCTTTTATTTATTGTAATAAAGCACTTTTTCTGAATAACGTCTCCTTTGCATGTTCTAGCTTTTAAAATAACTATAATCTTATTTTTAATTACTAGAACTCTTGTAGAAACTATAAATACCAGCATATTTATATTGGCTGGTAAGAGTTTCAAACACTTACAAGTGTTCTAACATTTATGGCATTAAATTATGTTTTAAAAATCTCTCCTATACCCTGTCCTAGGTTTTCATTGTATACATCTACTCTTTGAAAGAGATTTAGTCTTGTTTTTCATCTTTTCTATATGCTCTTTGAGATAGAGTGTTGTGTCAAAGCCCTTTTTGCCCTACACTTACTGCATATGATTAGTCATTATTATAATCTACATATATAAATTACAAATATCCCTTAATTAAATATCTAAAATGGAAAAAACATAATTTTTGATCTCTATATATAGTTTCATCAGGTTTTGTTTTTAGTCCATATAGTTTTTTTTAATGTTTTCAATCTTTATAGGGATTGAAAATACTGAAAAATTAAAAATGTAGGAACTTAAAAAACCAAAGCTATCAAATCTTTTTGAAAATATATGAACTAAAAATACAAAAAACTATAGAGACTAAAAAGAAAATTTGATGAAATTATAGGGACTGATAGTTGTGTTTTTCATTTAAAATATAAATATTATTTAGTCATTATTATCATCCATTTTCACTTAAAAATAAAATATTAGACCATTCAATGGGAGATATACCTGGAGGAGGTGATGCTATTTAAACAAACTTACTAATTTTATTTTATCACCTAAAATAAATATTTAACAAATTGTGTTGTTCTCATATATTAATTCAAAATTTCAAGTAAATTATATAAAAAAAATTTTCACAAAATAATTGCAAGGACTTAAGGGCTAGCTCAAGCCAATTTTTGCAGGGTTTCTAAGGGTAGGGCTTGATAAAGTCCTTTTATACCAAAATCCTTTATTTTTTAACTTGGCTCTCAAAAAATATAGGGTTTAAAAAGGTAGTCTACTAGGCTTAGCTCTTATTGATAGTTCTAATCAATGTAAGGCATCCCTAGAGTAATATTTAAGAGTGAGGGTATCCCTTGAGACAAAGAAGTTGTCTATACAGAAAAGAAACTGTAAGGGCTCATAATTGTCCGGTTTGAACTTGTAATTTTTAATGGACAAAATCTTAAAAATCTTATAGGGATTGAAATAGAATAAATCTTTATTTGAAGTCTCTATATCTCTTATGTCTCTTTATATTTCTAGCATATTTACTCATACTCTATTCTTCCGAAAACTTAGATGTTTGAATATATTCTAAAAATCTTCAATTTTTAACTTGTTTTATATCTCTCTATTTTCTCAAGACTGTGAAAGATTTTTTAATTTCTCATGCAAACATGATTTTAAACTTGAATTCTTTTGATCTATTCATTCTTATACTCTGTTTCTCAAGAAAATTAAACTTTCTAAAAGTTGAAAAATTTTTTAAACACCTAATTTACCCCTCAAAAACCCCCACCTTTGCTAGTTCTTTCAAGGAAATGATGTGGAAAGTTGAATTTAAGGAAAAGCTATGGCATTCACATCAAATGGCATGAAAATAATATGCTCAAGTGCATTACGATCTGGTTGAGGAAAAGAGAATTTGATGTGGCATTCATTTCGATTATTAGGTGTCAAAACTAAATGACAATGATGGTAGGCAATCTTTTAAGTTATCAAGATAAGGAAATGATACTAACATTCATATTTAATTATTCTTTCATTTGTCTTAAATCTTTGATGAATTAAATGAACATTTCATTTGGTCTTATTCTCCATTTCACTTGAATGATAAGTGGAGTACATGTGTAATCAAAATAAATAAATAAACGGTGGCAAGTGGTTAATCAATAAACAGTTAGCAATACTACCCTTCTCTTGTACGCATGTTTATTTCTTGAGTCATATTAATGCTTGCATGAGTTAATATTTTATGAAATGACTTGGTATGAATGGAATATTAATTTGTTGGAATATCTTATGAATTGTAGATTTACATTAATTAATCATGAGTTTAAGTAAAAAAGTTTGGTTAATTATTGAGCTCAAAATTTTGTCTTTATAATTTTGAGTAGACTATGATAGATAAACTATAGAAGAGTGAGTCTATTGAATATATAAACCCAACCTATAATTCTGTAGCAGTACATTATTTTTTTTTATCTTTTAGTTGACTAAGTTAAGAAGTTTTGAGAGAGTTGATATAACCAATTCATTTTGAGGCAATTACTAACATGATCTTCTACCCAATTGAAATATCATCCGTTAAGTTTGAAAATTTGAAAACTCAAGTATCGCACGATATAAGAGATGATCATTCTCAATGACCTCTACATATCTTTCCTCTCTCAGTTCTCTCTCTAGTATCTCTAAATAACTATAGGAGCCCCTAATAGGTTGTGAGTCTAGCTACTCTCTTAGTAATTGAGATCATAAGCTGAAGTTATAACATTTCTAGATCAATGGATTCCTGACCAGGTTACACGCACAATAAACTCTTTCATGTTTATTTTGATAAATTAATGAGATATTTTTAGAAATATTTTCAAGTGCCCTTAAGTAGGTCCCTTTATGGCAAGATGAAGGGCAAGGGGCGATTCTTCTAAAGCCATGTGAGGGACTGGACGTAGTGATCCATTCCCAAACTAGGCTATATACAAAATGCATAAAGTCGAGACTTCACTACTCTTCTTCAAATTTTGCAGAAAAAGCTATGAATTACGATGGATCTACAGGAGAATTATATCAAAAAAACATGTCGAGTACCTCCTTAAATAAATCACTCATATACCAAGTGCTTCTTCAAAGTGTCGTACGGTCTTTGAAAATTATTGGTAAAATTCCGTAAGACGATGCTTCAGTGACTGGTAAAGTTATGAGGACACTAGACCAATGGAATAAGCTTCCCTAACCCATATTCTCTTTTGTCTGTGATTAACGGATCTTTCACAGTAAGTCAACTGCCTAACCCGTATTCTGGCGTGTTGATTAAGCTTCATTGTTTTTGTGACAGAGACATATCATGAGATACATCAAATTCACTTTAAGAGACATGGAATCTGAAAAATGAGTAATTATTTGGCATAATTTTATTTGTAACTTTGTGAGGTTGTGCTGGATCACCATCTTCTGATTCCATGTGAGATGAAGAACTCATTGTGTGTAGTCTCTCAGAGGCTATATAAAGCCACTGATATTCTAGGTTTTCTCATAGGGAAATGAGGTATATAACACATTATCATTTTATGTTTCTCTGTCTCATGAGAGGCTTACAATATTGTGGCCTTGGGTCCTTTGTTGAGGCCTCTTTTGAAACTCGAGAAGCCTTTCAAGTAATCTGAGGGGCTTAGTTTTTGATCAGGTGATCACTATGTCTGCACGCATTTATTGGTAACTATTTATGTTTTTCATTAGCTAAGTAATTCTTTAAATTTTCTTTGTATACAAAAGAAACTTGGTGTGAATTAAAGTTGATTTCATTGTTATCATGAAAGTTTAAATACACCCATAGAAAGATATATCATATATAGTTTAATTGCTTCATTGTGTTCTAGCGAGTTAATTCATTAAAGTTTTAGTGCCTGATTTTGAGTTTATGATGGTAATTTTATTTTCTTTGTTATCTATTAGTCGAAGTATAATTTTTATTTCACTTTCAAATCCTAATAAGGCATTAACCATGAATCATGATCAAACGTATAGTAAT